AAAATTGAAAAACGATTTTTCTTCAAATTAAAAAGTGTTCAAGTGTTGTAAGAATTTCCATAGGGCATGGAGCAAAAAAATAATACTCCAAAAGACTTAGACAACATGGGTATGATTGCAAAGATAAAAGTAGACTTGGCACTGCCCTGTCGAAGCACTGTCACCAGTATAATCATACTTTTGATTTAGAAGATGTGAAAATAATGGAGTCAGAAGCTGTCGACGAAGGCTATTAAACGAAATAATGTACATATATCAACATAGCCTAGTTTGCAACTTGATGGATTTAAATAATTTAAGTACTTTATATATTGGCATTATTTGATAGGAAGAACAATTCACACTTTGGCACCAAATACCTAACTCCAATCTTGTTTTTAAGTACATTTGTATAATTTATTACACTTGTGTATACATATACATGCAGAGGTATTAATTGTGTAATTGTTTATTTTATCTGTTGTCTTTTTTTTTCTTTGGCTTTTATTTTTGCAATTTATATTAGTATAATTGATTGTAGTTGTGCACTATTTTAGATAACCGTAGGGTTACCTCATACAGAAAAGTTTCCTAAGACATCAACCTGCCCATTTATTTATTATATTAATTAATAATTTTTAAAATTAGAAAAGTATTAAATGTAGCTGTTTTGAAGTATTACTATTCTAATGGGAGGTATTTTACCAACATAATGACATTATAACTAAGCCAACAATTATTTATTTATATTTATAAATGACATATTCGTCCATCCAGTTTTAAATTAATTTTTGTGAAGATAATTTTGTAGAGCCCCGAAGATCAAATAATAGATTAAAAGCTGGAAAAATTATAATGGTTATTCATTGTTAAAAATACCACATCCCTGATTCCATTAGAAACCTAAGAACCATTTTGTTAAACTGTTGCATTCTGGGGGCGTCGGTGGCCGCAACGGTTTAGGCGTCGACATGGCGCTCATGTCTGTAAAGTTCCAGAGTTCGAATCCACCGGCCCTACATTCCAATTGGGCTTTTTTCAAAAACACCGGCACCCCGAGGGTTCACATAACCTCGAAGTTGAAATACCCAAAGTACCTTTTTTTACATAATTTGGTTTGAGGGTTTTTTTTACGTGCTTATAAGTTAAAAAGTGGATGTCTGGATGACTATGGACTAGGCTGCCAATAGTCCCGACATTCACTTCTGAACTTATAAGAATGTAAGAAATATCCTCATAGAAAACAATGTTGCATAAAAATGTAATAGTGTATGTCTTTGGACATATGCATATATGTTTAAAAAAGAGTTTTTAACTATTTTCGATTATTTTTACCGTTAAAATCTAACGATTTTTTTTTAAATGATTTTTTCCCGTTTTACGAAGTGTATTTTCTTTTTGACTCACCATGCGTCGTGGTCGAAGTGAGTACGAAAATCGCGGGACTCGTGAGGCACAGTCAACACTAAAAAGAACATCACTCGGTGAAGTCCGACTTCAAACTGGCCGCCTCCGTCTCCCTCCTACGCGGGACCGGCACCCCACCGCCTCCGACCGACAAACACAAAACAAACTAATTCTAATTTCGCCCCCACATTGCGAAATAAATAAATACATAAATGAATTGATCGTAAAAAAGAGAATAAATTTAAGCCGGCTGTTTGGATAAATTATCCGGTGATTATTACAATAAATTTATATTGCTAAATTTTCCTATAGATTAAGTTAGATTAAATTATATAGTAGCCGGGTTTTTTACGACCTGCGCACAGCGACCAGTGCCTTTTTTTATCTACTGCTCCTCGGTAAGCTTAAGACTTTTTATCAGACCCCAAAGCCTTTTCAAACAAATTTCAGTGAAAGTCAATTAAATATTTTTCTAATGAAAAATAGCTAGATTTATTACCAACATATCACAATCATCAAATATTTCTTATTTTATTAATCGGTTGCAGTTTGGATATTTGACTGAGTTTTGCTAAGGTATGTCAAATGATTTATTTTATTTTTTTAATTAACTAATTTTTTAACAATTCTATCATTTGTGGTCATTTACTGATTGATGGTAATCAGAATGTGCTATGTCTGGGATGTAAGCAGGGTGAGGGAGAAGCTCAATTCCATCCAATTCTGTAATCTTTTGCTTCGAGAAGTGTGTGGTCAGGTGTTACCTTGTTGAAACTAAACCCAATTTCCATTTATTAATTTTTGTTTTTAAATTTTAAGAGTACAAATAGGGCCCTTACATGTACGTATATTATAAATAAATAGTACAATAATAATAACAGCAATAATAAGCTTTTAATAGGCAACAACCTTCCAAATTGTCCTCGATGTATTCGAAGTGTGGAACGTATCGTTCTGACTGTAAAACGTATTTTGGTCGATTGTCGTACTTTGCAACACTTTAGGCAAAGGTTCAACTTTTCAAGTGATTTAAAGGAGTTACTAGGTGCCCAGTGTTTGTTTCGAAGAGCATTTTTCAACTTTCTTATAATTATTGGAATTTATAATGAGATTTAGCCTTTTTCCAAAATTCTTATACCTTTGAATGTTTGTCTGCTAGTGTTTGAATGAGAGTTCTGTACGCAAGATTTCTTTCTTTTTTCAGCAATTTGGAGGCTGCTGGAAGGGAAAAATGAAATAAAACAAAATGCAATTCGTGGGGTAATAAACTACAACACCCACAATCGCTATTTAAATAAGGAAAGATAACTTTCTCTTTCTTTCTCTCTCTCTCTCTCTCTCTCTCTCTCTCTCTCTCTCTCTCAAAAAAAAAATAAAATAAATAAAAAATAAAATAAAATAAAAGGATAAATTAAAGCTTTGAATGGCAATAGGATAGATTAGTTTATGGGTGAATGTTTGGTGTCAGAGCTTTACAGCACTCAGAATGGATATAGCTAACCTAAGATAGGAGGTTTAATGTTAGGACATGAAATGACCTTAGCTGTTAAAATGCCCTTAAAAATTAATAATAATAATAAACATATAATAAAATATACAAAACCATAATGATAATATATTCGAGGTTGACACAAACACTTACTTTTCGGCTATACCCACTACCATATATATGTCTGGCATGCAGAGAAAGGTTGCTTGATGTGTCCCATATTATGGAGATTTGGTCTTGATGAAAATGAGATTGAGATGTATTGTACGGGGTTTATAATCCGTACTAAAAGAAATAAAAACACAAACAATTATAATTTATGCAATGAAACAATTATATTTACTACCCCCCCCCCCAAAAAAAAAAAAAAAAAAAAAAAAAAAACTTCTATGCAACATTGGTTAACACTGAGAAAATCTGCCGAATGACCAGTTGGTGCAGCCATCTTAATCGCCAGAACCAACTTAATTAATAGAAATGATGAATGGTGGAGTGAGTGTGGTGTTCAATCCTTTTAAAAAAGCTCCTACTCCCAGTAAGTTGTTTTCCAGCGATCCAGATTTTGAGCTTGATCGTTGGAAAACAACTTACTGTGAGTAGGAACTATCTTCTTTAAAAGGATCCAACTTAATTATTCTTAATTAAAATTAAGGAATTGTACATCCTCCTCATTGAAGGCTGCAATTGGCTCCATACACAGAGCACGCAGGAATGCCACCCGATTTGAAATTGTTGTATTTGGGTTCTATTCAATTCTTGGATGAAACGGGGTTGTTCTATTGCATACAGTAATAATAGTTGTGTATGTCTTGCCTAGCTTGTGTTGAGAGTGAATGTAATTATTACCGTGAATGTGAGAGGGTTGATGGCAGAATATCTAACACCCCACTGACCCTCAATTAAGCTAGTTGTATAATATGAGTAAAGGATGATGGAGGAATAACAAGTACTCCATCACACTAATTGAAGGAATGATATGTAAATAGGAGTGAATGTATTTAAGAATGAAGAGTACGAATGGGTTTGGAAATGCATGCATTGGATGCTGAATTGACCTAGCAGTTTGCAACACCCCATTCCCTGGAGCTAGGTGGCTGAATGGATAAGACTGAGGTCTGCCCCCAGACTGCCAACAACTGGGTGGGAGATTCTCGAGTCTGCCGGCAATTTAGTGTAAACAGCATTGGAATTGCCGTTGGACTACAAGAAGTCAATAGGCACAACTCGGCACATTTGTATTGATACAAATTGAAATAAAAATCCAAATAATAATATATTCTTTAAAATATTAATTATTGAAAGAGGAAAAGGGAAAAAGAAACTGAGATGATTTATGTTATTTTTAAAAACTCAGATTCCATGGACCTGAAATAAGCCAGGGAGGAAGCAGAGCATACTTCCCGGGGAAGCAAATTCTATCGTCTTGACCCTGCAATTCTGAAGGATGAGGCTATAGGTTTAGATGAGCATTGAAGGTTTGTGATATGATTTGAACGTTTGAATAAGTAATGAAGGAAAAATGTTGATAGATATTGAGGACATTTATTTGATTTAATTTTAAATAGATAAATTACAACTCTAAGTTTATAAGTGCTAATCCTGAGTAATGCTGGGTCAAAACATCATACATTTTTTGTAACTGCTCACAATAAAGTTTTGAATCAATGGTTCGACCTTCTAGAGTGAACTCAGAATGAATTATGCCTTCATAATTCCAAAATACAGTGAGCATTGTCTTTTTTGTCTAATTGTGCTTGTATAACAATTGGTAGAGCTGACTGATTGCAGCCAAGCTATTGTTTCTTGGTCTTGGAGTACTCCACTTTTCATCACAAGTGACTATTCTTTTAATGAACCGAAGGTCATTTGGGTTTTCAAAAGATGTTGACAAATTCCTAGTCAGTGTCGTTCCTGCTCAATGGCCAACTCATGACGACCACTCTTAATGCTTAATGAGCTTTCCCCATGTTATGTAGTCACAATTTTTTTATTTATTTATATATATACTAAGCAAAGATCTTTTTACAAAAAGTATAAATCACAAGGTTATAAATAAATTAAGTAATAGATAAGCAAAATTAATAAAATAACAAGAACAAAACAACAACAAGCATTAATAATAATAAACAATAAACTGTATTTATATATTTTATATGATAATGGTTTACGGTGGATTGGCCAACTATAAAATCTCTTGCTTTTAGAAAAATTTCATGCTTCAACAGTCTCACAGTGTCTGCATTGAATGATTTTCATCCAGAACCCTCTTCTCTCTTGACGCTGATGTCACCAGATCCAAATTTCTGGAACTATCTGCACACTGTCTGTTTATAGAGAGCATCCTATTCTTTAAATAACCGCACAAAACGAGTTATTTCAGTAGTGGAAAACTTACATTTCCAATCCTGGCGTAATATTAACAAAATTTTAAATTTTACTGTTGTTTAACCAAACACTAATACAAAACTGAAGGCAAGACGAGATAATTTTTTTACACATTCATTTATTATAATTAAAGTGGTATCAAATCTATTTGGATTTGAAAAAAAAATTAAGCCAATAGGAGATTACAATTTCCAAGAAAATGAAACTGGTCATTTGTTATGACTCACCCTATTATAGAATTCTGCAGTTATTAATTTTTGGTTTTAGAAAACAAATGAAAGATAAAATGCAAAATTCATTTTTATTTACATAAAATACAAAAATACTTAACAAGATTAGTAATTTCATTTTTATTTATATTGTTCTCAGAGATTTTTTAAAGTATAAATTATGTGTATAACAATTGAATTTAACAAAGATGAAAAATATACAATATCAACAATTTATCAACATGCACATTTATATATTGTTTAAACCTCCTTCATTAGTACAATAATAGTAAACATATTTCTGAAAGCTTTGAGCGTAAGTGTACTAGAGATCCAAACATTCTCGTATAATCAACCTTTGTTTCCCCGCATCATAATCTTCTCATCGTATGTTAAAAAATTATATCTGTCAAGTTCAAATATTAATGTTTTTAAAAAATGGTTTTTCAAACTTTGGTAGGTCCTATTTGGGCAAATCTGTGCCTTTTCCATTTCCTTCCAGATCAGAGAGCCACGGAGACCAGTGAGATAGTTTTTCCGTATGAGAAATTTGAGTATCGCTTCTTTTTCTTGCCTGGTATATGGACTTTTGTAGGTCAGCTTGGTTTGCTTAGCAAATGTCATAGGACCGAAATCATCATCATCGTCCGAATTCTCTTTGGCAATGAGTTTCTTATAAGCAATGTTCTTTTGATAATTCTCATTGATCCTGGGCAATTTCTTAACCTCTTTTGTTGGTTGTATATTTGTTTCATCCTTCAATGTAAGTTCAGATGTACATTTTTCATTGACATCATTGCATTTGACCGTATAGCAGTTGACAAACCCTGAAAGGCTAGGCTCATCGAGAAACTTAAAAACCCTCGTTCTATAGTATATAACTTCGAAAAAATTATCTACGACATTTCTATTCACACCATAGACGTAGTTGTTCAACGGCAGTAGGGTGCATGAGTTGACGCAATCCTTCACATACTGTGATTTAAATGAAATCCTGTTGATAACACCATGACGGACGGATTCCTCTCCATCTACAAGGACCACAGTCCTTGGGAGGAGGTTAGTTAGGTCTTGTTCAACACGGCCACCTGAATCCCAAATTAAATTGGTCAATTCATGTTTCTCATTTGGGTCTGAGAGTAATAGACAAAATGATATCGCATAACCTGTAACATCAAAATGAAATTTATTAAAATAAATAAAAAGGCTTTCTTTAAAGTTATAGATTGCATCATTTAAATGAGACTTGGTCCTACTTATTTATTTAATCACACTTGTCTCTACTCTTCAGTATATTTCTATTTTTGTAAAAATAAAAATATTTAGTAAAGACAAAAACAGTTACAAATCCTTCAATTAATTGAGACCTACACATCAAGACTTGAGAGGACATGATTCATAGAAGAAGGGTTATCTCACCCAATTAAGAATTATTGACACACAAAGACTTTGTTGAATGCAAGCATTTTGTGTCCAGCATGTAGAGAAAGGTTGCTCAATATGTCCAACTTAATAGAAGGATGCCATTATTTGGCTCCGTGTAGAAAGCAGCCAACCTGATATGAGAATTGTGCTTGAGCGAAGACATATGAAAAAGTTCAGTGCAGAAACGGATGGCAGACTACTAAATCTAAGACTGTTAGGACTAGAATAATAGTTGGACTGCTATCGGGACACGCAGACTATAGGGCATATGTATAAACTAGGAGCAATAGAAACAAACCTGTCATGTCGCCAGAAAGAAGAAGAGATAGTTGCAAATGTCCTCTGTTGGTGCAAAGGTTTATGTAGACTAAGATTCCTACTTCTGGGAGAGGAAAAGCCTAGTCCTGAAGGATACACCCAGGGTCCTTGAAACCTTAGAAAAGCTTTGGGTTGTGATGAGCTCAAGCTTAATGAGGCCACTACCATGCAGATGCGCAATAGACCAATGGTGGTGGTGCAGGTCGTAAAGAGATTTGTGATCAAAGTTAATCCGTGGCTGGCCAGTTCACCAGGTCTTAACATTATTGAAACCTGTTTATGAAAGCTGAATCGTGCTATTTTTGCACAAGATAAGCAGTTTAATTCCACACACTAGCTCGAGAATTTCATTGTAGAATTGTGGGTCAACATCCAACAACAGTATTTAAAAAAATCTGTTCCAAAAAGATAAATTAAAAAATAAAACAATAAAAATTGCATTTTCCTAGAACCTCTCACAATCGTTGGTGAACATGCTTAATGTTGCATACATGCTCTATTTGAATAGTCTTATGTGTAAACATTATGGAGAAGCATGCAAATTGGAAGAAATTAGACATATTTCAACGCAAATGCTGCTGAGTCAGCTTTGGTGCCCTGAGAATAACTCCTATTACCATGATTCATGTGGAAGCCAACGAATCACCACTCAGATATAGAAGAAAAATGTTAGTAGGTCGATTGATCCCCCCTATACGAAGTTCGGCCAACCTAGCTTGTACTCATTTACCATTACTATAGTAAAAAGAAATCACCGCTAATAGTTTATGCTTTTATAGAACTAGCTCAGTACCAAACCTGGCTAGAAGAAACTGATTTGTTACGGTACAGAGCTTATCATCACTGAACAGGCCTATGTCAACAGGCTCAACATGAAATTCCTGCTTATATCCACTATCTGAGTAAGCTCTGGAATGACGACAAGACTGTTTGTACTTAATTATGTAGTAGTACAAGCTTTAATACCACCAGAAAAAACAAGGAAAATAGGGAATGAAATTACAATAGTCTGGTTAAAAGGATGTAACAATTGTTGTCAACAAATTGGCTAAAGCAGCACAATTTCTGGCTAGTTTCTGTTAGCACCTATACAAATATCGGATATGAGCTTGACTTTCAGTCAAACTTGAGCGGAATACTTGTGCCCGCTGACACGGGTTGACTGCGCCTGAAAGGATTTGGAAAGTTCCCTATCATTTTCTAGACAGCAACACTACTAGACACTGTTTGTTCAACTAGTTGAATCAACTAGCTGCCTCTTCTGAAAGAGGCCTCCTTCCAATTTAATTGAAACAACTTTTTACTACATTATTTAGATAATTAAAGAAAATTATATTCAACTTAATAGCAAAGTGCTGGAGATTAATTAAAGCCCAAATTATCTTCAATTTACAAGATACAGAATAATATTTTGTTAGAAGAAAAAGCAAATGAGCTTTGTTTGATTACCTCTTTCAGAGATGAAAATGCCATTTGAATTTCCTCCGTTTACCTCGTACAGATTCTCCTTCAGAATGGGCAAAAGCTCATCTATAGACATGCCAGAAAAATTTCAAATAAAACTCCAATTTCGGTTTGGTTTTTATATTTATCAAAATTGCCAAATTGTCTGGATTTTGGGGATTGTTTATCGTTACGGCTTTTGAAACCTCTCGGCTGCGGTTGTAATGCCCTAGCTGCCCTAACGCCCAGGTGGAATCAATGATAACAGTATGATTAACAATCACTTCAAAATCAAACACCTGAAAAATATATTTATTTATTATGCAGGCAAACCCTATTAAAACTGTACAATAGTACAATATAATATAGAAATTCATTATAATTAGGTAATTTTAGAAATAACTGAGCTAGAATTACAATACAAAAATAAATAATTGGAAGAATGAAATATTAAATAAAACATAACTTTAAATATATGCAAAAATACTGGTTTGGAAACAATGAAAAAATAATAATTTCAGCACGGAGCAAATTCAGCATCGATTTTATAGGGTTTTGAATATAATAGTGCTGTAGAATAATTTCATATTCCTCCAACAGCGCCATTCTTAATTCCTGTAAATTCTCTGGCGAATTCTACCCTCTTTGTCAACTCGTCTCAAAGATATTCGATAGCGTTTAAGTCGGGACTACGTACGGGCCACTACAAACATTGAATTGAATACCCGTTGTAAGTTGCCATCAACAATGCTAGCTTTGTGGGGCTTCGCATTGTCATAAAAATAAAATCGTCGCCAATTAGTGGCATATAAGGACCAACTCCATCTGATAACACATCTTCAATGTATCGCGCAGCTGTTTTGGAACCCTCGATGAAGTTTAAGTTTGTGCGACCTACTGTACAAATGCCTGCCCAAACCTCCATACGTCCTCCGGAGTGACAATGTTTTGGGCATCTCTCTCTCTCTCTCTCTCCTGATCTTCTCTAATCCCTCTCTGGGCCTTCAGAAAACCTCAAACAAAACCTTGACTCACCTGAAAACAATTTAGTTCAATCTCGCTCAGACCAATTGATGTATTTTTTTGCAAAACTTAACCTACCTGTTCCGTGCCTTGTCAGAACTTCTGGACCAGTGGCAGGCTTTCTCGCAGGTAATCTAGCTTCTGAAAGTCTTCCTCAGTGCGTAAATTGACATTAACATTTCTAGCTTGTTGAAGTCATTACGCGATCCTAACAGCGGTAGAATGTAGATTATGGAGTACATTCGAATCAATAAAATCTCTCTGAGATGTGACCCGATGGCGACCTGATCCATGCCTCTTTAAGCAACTTCCAGCATCTTGGTCGATGGAAGAATCTTCGGACAATTGTTCTGGGAATGTTAGCACCCTGGCCACATACGGTAGACTTCTTCCATCTTCTAGCTGAATCTGTAACACTTGAAACCATTACTCAAATAAATTTGAAACTTAAAAATGGTACAACCTAAAAAAAAATCAAACCATCGGAACATTAGAAAGAAGCTTTATAGAGATACCAACAATGAAGAGATTGACTATTCAAAGATTTATTTACAAAATCCAATTGTAAACACAAGTGGGAGATTTTATCTTAGTTTTATTTAACTCTAATCCGTTGAAACGGACCAACTTGTTGTTGTAAGATAAGCAATGGAGGATTGTCTAATAGATAATTAAAAATATTAAGGGTGGCCACTTTTTTTGCCTCTTGGTAGTTACAAATATACTTAGGAGTGATAATATAGAAATTCATTATAAAACATAAATAGGTAATTATAGGAATAACTAAGCTAGAATTAGAATACAAGAAAAAATATTTGGAAGTGTGAATTATTAAATAAAACATAACTATAAGTATGACCAATTTGGGGGTAGCGACGGTCTCTGGATTGGTTGTGGTGGTGTGGACGCTAAAGAAAAGTAAAAGAAATGTCTACAGAGCAAAAAAATAGAATATATGAAAAAAAATTTATTCTGATTTCTCTAATGGCAAGCAGGCAACTCAGAAACAATGAAGGTTAAATGGCAAAGTAAAATAATGATAATGATATTAAATAATAATAACATAATAATAAAAAGAAAAACTTGTGGTGTATGATGAACTGGTGAAGGCTGTGGTCTGGGTTGAAAGAGCGACTTAGGCGATTCTCAACTTGCAAGTTCGACTTAACAGGGTAAAGGGCCCAGTGGTCGTTTTGTAGACGGTGCTAGATAATGCAAAAGATGCGTTCCTAGCCAAGGCTCAACTCGGAGTGTTCTTTTTCGATGTTGTCGCCGGTGCCTGTCCAGTCCCCGCAGGGATAATCCTCTCAGAGTGAATTACATTGTTGACATAGCAGTTAACAAAATTCAACAACAAAAGTTAACTGAATAAAAATAATTAATATCCCAGCTAACTAGCTTAACATAGTGGTATGATTGAATTAATAAAGGATCCTTTTTAAAAGGATAGTTCCTACTCACAGTAAGTTGTTTTTCAACGATACGGATTTCGAGCTTTTAGCTCATCATCAGGTTGAACGAGTTGTACAACCACGTCTCTCGACTTGAATTGCAAAATTCATTGATTCAAATTGACTTTTGCAATTCATGTCGAGAGACGTCGTAGTACAACTCCTTCAATCTGATGATGAGCTAAAAGCTCGAAATCCGGATCGTTGAAAAATAACTTACTGTGAGTAGGAACTATCTTTGTAAGAAGGATTGAACACCGCACTCACTCCATCATTCATCATTTCTATTAATAAAGGATTGTAAATATTAAAGAAACAGAGCTATGTGTTTACGGCAGCAGTTTTCCTCTTGCCAGTCAGTTACAACATCCGTGGTGGGTGATTCTCGAGGCCTACCAGTAAGTTTATGGTAAATTACAAAAACTGAAATTGAACTGAATAACTCAATCAAATATGCGTTTCTGTGTAGTACAGATTTGAGCTTATATAATTCATTAATAGTAATTTACAGTGAACAAACAATATACAAAACAATTTTCCAATGTGTCAAAATTATACGCCTCTTTCTTACAATTACCTCGCGTGCTTACAACCGATGCTTCCAGGTTCCTAGACAACTACTAACGATTTTCCAAGACGCCCCAACTCAGTGTATCTGTCAAACTTTGGTTGAAGTAAATAGAAAGTAAAGCACGACGAGAAATCCACCGACCTAATTTTTTTATTAGGGTCCACAACGCAGTAAGGGTGACACGTAAATAAAGATTATTATTATTATTACCATACTAGTCCATTGTAATTTGCAGGATACAGGAGCAAAGCGGTCAGAAAAAATCCTTATTTATGTAATAAAAACAGGACAAAACGGTCAATTTTGCTAGAGAACATGTCAATAAAGTCCTTGGAATCCTGAAAAAATATTTTTTCTCAGGTCATTGTAAGCTAAACTGTAGATGGGGCAGTGGTTATTCTTTGAAGGGTGAAAGTGACATGTTCACATTTTTCTGTTTACACTTCCACCAGTTGGGCCACTGCACAAGGGATGTGTCATGTGCTTGCAGATTGAGATGATAGGATCTTTACGAGAACAAAGGGTGGCGGTATTATCCATTTAAGTGATAAGGATCAATTCAGAAAGGGTGCCTCTGGTGTATGCTGCGTAAAGGATGGGTCCCGAAACGTTCTTGTGGTACCCTGCATCTTTTCAAAACCGGCTAATAGAGAGGGGCCATTGCTGGTTTGAAAAAATCAGTCTGTTAAATATAATTTTAGGATTAGGTAGTAGGTAAAAGGGAATACTATTTCAAGTTTGCACATCCCGAGTGCCATAGTCATGCTTCACGTTTAAGAATACACTGGTAGAGTATTTTTCACTTTTTGTTTATAGACTGTCATGGTTGTACAAGGGTGACCCTTGAACTCAGGGAAGTCGCCTCCTCATTTGTTGGCCAGAGTTAGAGACAAGGTCAGTGTTATCGAGGTACTCCTGTTGTATTGAGCTTAATCTTAAGAACATAGTTTTTCTCTTCTATTGTTTATTTGGTTATTATTTTTTCATTTTGAACCCTAACACCTGATAGCCTGATCTGAGCCTGATAACACAGGGATGGCCTGAAGACTTTAAACAAATTAAAAATTTAATAGCTTTACCTTCATTAATTGGTGCCAGCAATCCTGAAATTAACGAAAAACCCTAATTAGGAGAAAGCTCAAAGAGAGGGAGAGAAAGACAAGTTTTGACTGTCCTTTGTTCTAACCAGTGCTTTTTAAAGATTATATATTTTAGGAAGCCTCTGTAAAAATTGAATTCAGAGGTATTGTTAGATTTGATAATGACCAACGTATTAACAATCAGATGGTTTCCAGCATATGGTTATTTCCGATTTGTTGTTTGAATTCCCCCTCAATTTAGTGTCCCCCTCCCAAAAAAATATTAATAATAATTTCAACGCACTCAGATCTTGTCATTATTCAATTTTTAACGACTCGGCACGGCTTTAAGAAGTCCAGCTTAACCTCCTTGGGACTTGTAATTAATCGGTTCTCTCGTAACATCAAAACACAAAAGGCATCTCGGTTCTGAGCTTCTGGAAGCTAATCCTTGGTTTTTGAACCATTTTATAGTTAATTTCTAGATGTAAAATTTTCTTCAAATTGCTAAAATTGAAGAAATTTTGAAAAATGTCTATTGCGGTGTTATTTCCTAAGTAAGGCCAAAAAAGCAAAAGCTCTTGCTCACATAGTTATTTTTGATAGCCATATTGATAATTGGTGTTGTTTTCATAACAAACTTGTTAATTAATTTAATAATAATTGCGTTGGACTGTCAAATAGATGTTGATAACCTAACCATCCCTAATCATGTCAAATAGATGTTGGTCGAGATGGTAAACCTCATTTTAGTTTAATAATTAAATCCATTATATTTAATGGTCTATTGACCAAATTACTTCTTTCAATCAATTAATCTTTTTTATGTGAGGTTTTGGTTGAAATGAAAAAGTTAGTGCCACGAGCGGGATTCGAACCTTGAGCTATCCGACTCCGAAGCCAGTGGTAGAGCAGCGACGTACTTAGCCTAAGGTCGTGGGTTCGAATCCAGCTCGTGGCACTAGCATTTCCGTTTCAACCTAAACCTTACTCAAAAATTCATAATTAAAATTGACTTACAAGCCAGTCAGTACGTTATTTTTCAATATTTCCCAAGAAATCTGCTTGTAAATTTTCCTTCTTTTTTTCCCAAAGAAATGAAAAGTTTCTCATCCGGAGAAAGGAGCGCATTTGACAAAACGATTAATTTTTCTTTTTCAAACGAAAGTAAGCACCGAGCTTCGTTTTTCTATTTAAACCCAGTTGAATATTTTCGTACTCGGAGAAAGTCTTTTTCAAAAGCACACTTATTCAATTAACCCCCGAAAAAGTTGGGTGTTGTGGTTTGATCTTTCGAGCGATCCGCACTGGGTGAAAGATCCAACGATGGAGTCTTATTGAGACACGTTTTATCCGCTGTTATTCCTTCAAAGATTGCCCAAGTGAAATGTATTTTTAAATTAATCTCTTAAGATGTTTAGTTCCACAGATAACTTATTCATGTACTAATACATAAATTAAACAACACTAAGCAATTTATTCATATTATGTTATGTAGTCATTATTTCAGACACCGGTTGTTTTCATTTTTTCAATAAAGGCCAAGACAGTTGTTAAAAATTAAGAACCTAATTAATTTATTTCATTACAAAAAACCCTCTACAATAACGTCTATAATTACTGTAAGACAGGGTGCACCCCTACGTTTTGAAGTAAGTTGAGAATTGAGGGTCCCTGCCACCTAGAGAAAGGAAAGGACAAAGAGACAAAGAAAGAATCTAGCCAGGTCAGTCGAGAGACTCTCGGAGAGAGGACTGTTTTTGTGTTTCCCGTTTCATTTTTCCAAATAAAGACAGTTTTGTTACAGTTTGGGGACTTAAATTACATCAAGTACATTTCTTTACTCAGAGGTTTTTTTTTCTATAAATCTTGATAAAAATGATATTAAAAATTTACAGACCATCATCTTTTGAGCGTAGAATTGCAATGTCTGAAATGGTTTTTATGAAGAGTTGAAAAATATTTGCCGACTTATGACTTTTTCTGGTAAAAAATTTCAGCTAATAATTGTGAATACACGACTTAAAATTGTGTATGATATCACATAAAAAGCAGCAACTCGATTGACTCCCTATACCCTTGGTCATTATTTTCTCGAATCCACATTATCTTTCTCCTTCATATGAGCAGTTAGATCGGTTGGCAACACCCTGTATAAAAATTATTTTTGCTATGATAGTTATATTTTTTGTTACAATTTGCAATCCGTAATACTATAAAGTACATATGTATATTAGTGTAAATAAATGTGATTTTAGTTTTAACGTACATTTTGTTTAAAAAAATGCAAACAAATCGCCAGGCAAGCGTACCCAAGGATATGTCCTTATGCCCCCTCTTTTTCTCATATACAGGGCGTCTCGTAAAGGAGTTTATCCTACAAGTTAAATTAGACAAAAAGCCC